GTTCCTAGTAGCGATGCCAGGAGCCCCGTTCGTAGCGTCCTTGCTCCCCAGTTCACTTTCCGGATTTCGGGCCCTGGAAACCGATTCTACAGATCCTTAGGGTCGCCTTGGACATCGGACCAGGTGATGATTTTCGGTTGCGTCGCCGGGTTGCTCTTGGTGGACTCCAAGTACGGCGGCCGCCGCAGCCAGCTGCTGATCGCCCAGAGCTCAGACACCAAAGGTTGGGCAAAGTAAACTTGTGGGAGACGTATTCATGATCCCATTCCAACACATCAATGATCCTGAAATAAGACATAAAATGAGACACGTATGATCTACTGGCCCGGGAATCGTCCAGAATTTCTGAGCACTCGACGCCGTCCTCAGGCGACGGTGCTCATGGGGCCACCTTTGGTCCTCGCTGGCTTAGTGCCCTGGACGGAGCCAAGCAGCAACCTCCAACCTACTAGCGATGGCCTCCAACCTAAGAGCAAACTATATTAGACCGTTCTTCCTTTTCTTTTTCTTTGGTTTCTAACAGCAATGGCCAGCAACCTACGACCTAAGAGCGATGACCTCCAACCTACTAGCGATGGCCTCCAACCTCGAAGCATCCCTCGAGTTCCCCTGACATTGAGAATGTAGATTGAAACATGCCCATGCGCGGCTTCAGAGCAATTGTTGTCTCTGAGTCGCAGCTCTTTTGTTTCTCGGAAAATCCAAGGCCTTGCAGTACGGCTTGCCAGGCACGCAAAACTCCACACTACATCACTTCATGCATGTTCTTTGTCATCATTCACGTGACAGTTCATACGGTTCCTTCAAGAACTTATATAGGCATTCCAGCTACATAGTGTTTGGTCAGGATTGTTCCAAGCTTTGGCAGAGACTTAACGCCAGGCATTATCACCATGGTATGTGTCATCATCTATGGTGTTGGCTTCCAATTTGCCTGGGGGACGATCCCATGGATCTATCCAGCAGTCACTTAGTTGCAAGATGGGGCAGCATCGTATCTAAGCACAACTCGTGTTGGAAAGAAACGGCGGTCTTGCATCGCTTTCATCTCTGCATGACCTGCAGAGCGCCCTTGAAAACGAAAAGCTGCTGCCCGATGGTCCGATCCCGTTGCGGTCAGCGGAGCCCAGTTCATCCCGGACGACCGCGCCGCTGGCGCGATTGGGCGCCCTTCGGATGGCAACTCCTGTCCAACTTCGCACAGGGCTCTCAGGTGTTGCACGCAAGTAAGTCCGGAGCTAAGCATCTGAAGTTGAAGGCGAAATCTGCATGGTGAAAAGAGGGAAGGACTTCAGGAGGCTGGACTCTCCCCAAGCAGGTGTGTGCGATGATGCTCCGTGGGAGGATTGGGCCCGAGCAAACAAGCATCGAACGAGCAGTTCCCCTTCTAACTCTGACATTGGTTGCTCCCCTGCCCTGGCCCTGGTCAAAAATGCGCACCCAAAGCGTGTGCAGACGGGTTTTTGTTTGTCTCCTACCAAGATGACGAGTCCCCCATTGTATTTAAAGAACTCAACCAGGAGCATGCCGTTTGTGTCCCAAGGGCCTCAAAAGCTGTGCATATCTCGGCTGTCTTGTCCCTCGGCAAGACTTAAAAATTGGGTTTTCAAAAAGAGTGACAGGCACACAGTCATATCAATGAGGGCAAAATGTGGAAAGGGACATAGCTCGACCAGCTGCATGGTACGCAGTGGCTGCAAGACGACGATGCCTGGCACCCGACAGTAGCCCCTGCTGAGGTTCAATCGGCTACAGGGGTTTGGTTTCACCGGAAGCAGTTCCTATCTATGAACATGATAATTCCACTGCCCCAGCCGCCGAGAGCTCCGACGCCATCATGGACAAACCACGTTCCTTGTCAGAAGTCCTGCTCTTCCTATACTCCCGGACATGTCAGTGTCTGAGTGTGCATCTTCCGGTAGCAAGACTGCAGGAGCTGTGCATTGCCAACCTTGATTGGCAAGAAACGCAGAAAGCCGTGTAATGATCTGTCCAGCAAGGACTCCAGGACCAGGTCCAAATGTTAGAAAACAGCGGCTTTTGGGGGCCTCCTGGTCAAGCAGTTCGCTTTTACCCGAGACACACAGACACAAACCGAGACACGTACATTCACACACGCACACACCGAACTATTGAGCGTCATGCTTTTTGAGCGTCCCTTTCAAAACTTTTGTCTTATATCTTCAGACCGCGTCAGGAATTTGACCCAGGCCCGGCGCCAACCTTGGTCGCCCCACGAAAGCCACTTTGCACAGGATCGTCAGGAGGCCGCATCGCCGGTTCTCCACAGCTACGCTCTGTGGAGAGTGCATTTGTATGCATTTGTGCGTAGAACGAAACCCCGTTCAAGCGCATATGTTGGTCTTTCAGATCCGGGATCCTTGGCTACACCGTTGGCGCCACACTGCACGGATGCTGGCCGATGTTTGGACAAAGGCCGGACGGCGTCTCCCGAGAACGACTTGTGTCGCTGTGTCAACGAGCCTGCGGCGTCAACCCCAAGCGAACAAGGTTTTTGCCGGAAAGATGTGCGATTCGAGCTGGGCGTCACAGACGCAAGGCTCAAAACAGGGGTCAACTCCAGCCGAACCTCTTCAAAGCTATAGGACTTGCCCGACAATGGCAGTCTTGCATGTTTCCTTTCATCTCTGCATCGGCAACTGCAGAGCACTCTATGGATCCTCAAGCTGCTGCCAGATCCTGTCGCGCCGCCGTCGGTAGTTTGACTTTGTGACACACAGATTAATCCTGTAAAGAATAGTTTTTGCATCCTTTCTGGCGCAGACTAGATATACCAAAAAGAAAGAAAATTACCACAGGGGACCTATGTCATGTCAGGCACAAGGAAAGCTGCCCGCGTTCATTTTGATCCAGTTTTCACTGTGATGTGCACGTTGACTCTTGCAGGTGTTTTTTGTTTGACGGGTTGAAACCGCACGTGTTGCGGTCTTTTTTGACCGCTCTTGATCAAAAAGGGCTCCAACACCCTTGGTACACTTCTCGATTTCGTGCACCCGAACCTCTAGAGCTCTCGGTACACTTCTTGATTTGGTGCTTCTGGACTCCCCCTCGCCACATGTGGTGACTTTTGAGGGAGCACCAAACCTTTCATGAAGGAAATTCAAAAATTCCCCCTCTCCGGGGGGAGGCCCAAGCCCTCAGAGTGTCTTGAACACGGTGTATCCCCACCACAGGTCCAGGTGGCAACCGCGCTTCCCATTTCGCTCATCAACTAGGATTGTCTTCCTCCTGGATGTTGCGTGCCATGCCACCGTCATCCTCCATCTTCCCCACTTCTCCTCGAGCAGCGTCTCGCCCTCGAAATCGTACAGCTTCTTTCGGTCCTGATAGTGGACCCTGATCCCTACCTTCTTCTCCCCCTCGAAGTCGATCAGGTAGTCCCATGAATCCTTGGCTGACGTCCTCCGCGGTGGTACCGAGATGACTCTCCGCACCGCGTCGTTGATGAAGCCCTTTTGGAATCCAGGTGTCCTCAGGTAGTCCGCCATCTCTTCCTCGTGACACCACTTCCCGAGGACAATGCCTGTCTCAACCGTCGTAACCAGCCTCAGTGGCTCCACCCTCGGAAGGCCAGGTCGATGATGTCCTTCAGGTCGTCCCCCACCATCTCCTTCTTGATGTTGCTCTCCACTCCCCAGAGCTTCTGGTTCCGCTCTCGGATTCCTTCCCTGTCCGTCACCTGGGTCTCGAGCGATGAAGTGCACCCCTTCACTGTCCAGCATCACCCAGGTTCCTCCATAGTCTCTCCGCGGCCCCCTTCGGATCATATAACGGTCCCAGGCACTCATGGTCATCCCCAGCTCGGCTCTACGCCTCTCCTCAGCACCCGCATCGTAGGCTCCCCGGTGTCTTAGTCCTGAATCGTGTACTCGAAGATCATCAGGGCCTCCTTGACCAGCTGCTGCCACGCCTTCATCCCGCATCTCCCCGACCTGGGTGCCCCGATGCCATAGTCCCGAATCAGGTTCTTCATGGGGTCCAGCTGGTTCAGGTCGGTCAGGATGTGGTCCTTCCCGGTCCACTGTCGATGCCGATCCAGCTGATGCCATCGGAGCCGTCCCAGGACTTGATCTCACCCTCATTGTCCTCATTGAGATTCGGTCCACTGGATGGCTCGTTCCCAGCTCTTGTCTCTGGTAGAGCGGGTCATCAGGCTCTGCCCACGGATAGGCCTCCTCATGAGCTGAGTATCCAAATCCACGAATTCCCCTTTGGGTTTCACTCAGATCCTCCACGTGGTTCACCCCCACCTCCAGGATGCGTTCCACAACCAGCTGAGCTACACGATCTCCCTTGTAGACTCGCAGGTCATCTTCCGACCAATTTCTCAACAGGACTTTCACCTCCCCCCGGAAGTCACGGTCCACGACTCCTGCCCCCGTTTCTATCCCCCGGATTGCCAGAGACGACCGTGGGGCGATTCTGCCATACGTCCCCGCTGGAAGTTCGATCGCTAGTCCAGTCTTGATCAGCACGCTCTCGCCTGGTGGGACCAATGTCTCAATGGTGGAGTACAGGTCAAGTCCTGCCGCTTGATCTGAACCTCTGGTGGGCAGCCGTGCATCCGGGTGTAGTAACTTCACCTTAATCTCTTCCTTCGGCTTGAACCATCGTTGGATGCCTGATGTTCCGACCCGGAAGGTGATGTCCACCAGGATGGCAATGGCCGCCGTAATCAACACAATGATCCACCATTCCCCACTGGTCTCCTTCTGGTCCTCCGTCGCCGCCTCCACCTGTCCAAGCAGACTCGCCGCAGCGACCAGCAGTCCAATGCCCCTGGCGAACCCGGATTCCACTCCCTTGTGCACTTCAATCTTCTTGACCTCAACTGGTCTCTTCTCCACTCCCTCCAGTCCCAGGGCTTCCTTGAACCTCCCCAGAGCCGGTCCTGTGAGTTGCTTTGTGAAGCCATCAGCAACGAGGACTTTTCCGGACACATGATCCAGGGTGATCTCCTTCTCCCTGATCGCCTCGGTGAGTCCAGCCGCTCGAATCCTCAGATGCCTGGTCCTCCACGATGACGTAGTCCCGGTGGCGATTGCGATCGCCGCCGTGGAATCTGAGTGGAACGCCACCCTTGCCTTCTCCCCGGTCATTGCCTCGACCAATGCTGCTGTGGATCTTCCGGCGACCAGCCCCTCCAGTAGCGCCATCAGCTCCGCCTCCGCCGTCGACAGGGTGATGAAAGGTTGACGAGTCGTCTGCCATCCGACCGGCGACCCCCCCACAAACACCACGACTCCTGAAATGCTCTTCAACTCAGAAGAGCCATAGGAAGCATCCGTGTAGATGTCAATCGCCTGGATCGGGTTCTTCTCATCGTTGGTGACCTTCTCCCCGTCATCTCCGCCGTCAGCCGCCATCATCATGACCTCCTCCATCGTCTCTCGGAGATAGGCTCTGAGCTGTCGTCCGATGTCGATCACCTGACGCGGTCTCTTGGAGGCCCATTGTGACATCACCCCCACACCCAACGAAAGATCTGGCCGAGTCCTCCCGGCCACCCACAGGAGCTCCCCAGTTTCTTTCTGAGCTCTAAGCACCTGATCAGCCGTGGGCTGCTCCTCCTCTTCTGGAGCCCGGATTCGGCCTAAAGCGCTCCGCTCCTTCTCGTCGTACTCCTTCAGCAGATTGGCAATGTAGGCCTGCTGGTGGATGACGTAGTTAACCCCCCTCTTCTCGATCTCCATTCCAAGGAAGCGCACCGGTTCCTGGCCTTCTCTCACCCACTCCGGTTCACCAATCTTCCAGTGGATCTTAACCTGGTCGATGAAGCCCTGGATGATCTCTTCCTCACCAACCATCAGTACGTCGTCCACGTACGTGGCTAATGCCCCCTTTGTTGTCCAGGAATTTTGCTCATCCTGCTCCTGGACCAGCCAGATGTCCGCCTGGAGTGTTGCTTGCACCCTCACGGGTCTCCCTTTTCTCACCCACCGGA